CCACATTTCTTTGTGGCTTAAAAGTGGGAACATTTTAGAGAGAGGTAGGAGCCTTACTTTAGCAGTTTTTATGATGTTAAAAAGGTAGCAGTTTGGGCAGTTTTGAACAACAACGAAAAAAATGAGACCAGATTCCATTCAAAACAGCTGAGAGAGCCAAAGAGTTCTTGAGGAGTCCATTACAGATCTGGAATCCTGATCAATGATTTGATCCTTTTTTTCAAGTTGACATCTGGTATTTTCCAGAATCTATATTTAAGAAGAAATCAATTTTTACTAATTTTCAGCTTGATTGTTCACACTTTAGCTTAGGAGAAAGCCCTGCTTTCCTGACAGAACCTATTTTGAGGGCTTATTTTGTTCATTTTGGGGACAGTTCTTTGGGGGAAAAAATTTTACTGTATTCCTGTCTTAATTCTTCATCTATGTTGCAATTAAAGAAATCCTTGAGCACTTCCAGAAACAGTAAGGGAAGTCAAAGTTTATCTGCATCTGAGATAGGAATATTTTTTGAATAGCAACTGGTATGTGTAAAGTGGTTCAAATTCTTTTTCTTTTTTATCAATATATTATCTCAGCCTCTTGTCTCTTCTATTGTGAAGTTGACAATGTCGATCTGCTCTTTTTTATGGACACCATTGTAACTCTGAATTTCAGTTCAGGTTTTTAATAGCTTCGCTGGTCCAGTCTCTAGTGTGACAATGACTCCTGACATGGTGGGTGGATGTTTCTGCTCCAGCTGACTCTGGGGCCACAGTCCCATCCCAGGCGACAAGCCTGCGGTGGACATTCTTGAGGCTTGCCTCCACTGTCCCTAACACTCTGTGCCACTTCTATGATAACAAAAGTGAGCCATTTTTCCTTTGCCTGTTTTGGACTCAGATATCCGAGAAAGCTTACACAGCTGTGCTTGGACTTGGCAGCTTTTCCCATCCAGATAACTGGGGGTGTGCGCTGAACCAGCAACCGCGAGTCCAAATTCAGACAAGAATGTGGTTCAGGGAGTGAAAGAAATAGTCTGCTCTGTTCAGCCAGATCTTGAAAAAGAAACAAAACAACCTTAATTAAAAATGGGGGCGTGCCAACTGATTTGAGCATTACTGGTATGGAATTTTTCACAAATAAGATATTCCTGATAGAAGAAAACAGGTTAACTGTCTCCCCAAATAAGGCCTGGTGTGGGAACATTTGAGTTTTTCAGTCTTTCTGGATTTTTTTAAGTGTTGGCATCAAACTCAGGGCCTCATGCATCAAGATGCCAAGCAAGTGCTCCACCTCTGAGCTGCACCTGTCTCCTTTATAAAGACTGAAAGCAAAGCTTTGTAGCAGGAGGCTGAGTTAGCCCCAGGACACCCAGGAAGTGCTCCATTTTCATGGATTCCTTCAGGCCCCCAAGGATCATCAGAGGACCAGCAATGGGTTGCTGGGTTGCTGTGGCCAGCTCAGGTCTGCTCTTGGAATTGACATCTGTAAAATTGCTGCCTAGTTTTCAGGAAAGACCTTTTTTTGCCCTCCCCTAAATATAATACTTCAGAAAAAAATTGGGGGCTGCTGCCTTAACTCATCTGCCTAGCATGCACGAGGCCTTTGGTTTGATCTCCAACACTGAAAAATAAAAGGCATTTTACTTCCCTCCAAATCAGAACAGAGTATGAGGATAAAAATGAGATGATAGATCGATAGATATAAAAGTTGAATGCCAATGTGACTGCAATGATTATCAATAATACAGGCTTTACATATTTCCTCTAGATACTTGCCCCCACACACCAGAACCAAAAGTTATGGTTTAGACTGAAAAGTTTCCTCCCTTCTCATTCACCTTGCAACAGATCCCCAAGTTAAACAAGTTTCAAGTACGAAGTCTGCAGGCTGATCAAGGAGCACAATGGACATGCACGTATCAACTTCATGAAGCCCAGCTGGTCCTGGTCTAGGTAAGGCCCAGAAAACAGGCCCTTGCTGATGCTGTCCCACTGAACTGGCAAATTCTATTTATGAGAAGACAGGAGGACTCATCCATCTATTTCCATGTTTATTTGAAAAGAAGTTGGCACAGAGAGATGGTTCTATTGGGAGGTCTGTGTGTTCGAGGGGTCAGATCCAGGAAGATGACGGGATCCCATTCCTTCAGCACTAAGGTAGCATGCTCAGGACTTGCAATTCCTCAGCCTCTTAAAATTGTGGTTGGCCTCAACCTGACTACAGCCCTTACTCATCTCCTGTTTTCCACATCAAAGGTAATAAGAGTGTCGTCTTATATCACATTTCCGAGCTGACCACTGACACCAATTCCCAAAGAACATGAAAGGGGCAGGAAAACTTTCATGAAAATGTTTGGTCCTCTTCTCTGGTGTCCTAAGGTCAGTCCTGATTTAAGACCCAGAATGGATGGGCTCGTTTGTCTCCACACTATGCAATGGAACTTAGGCCCTGAAAAGATCAGCCCTTCTTCTCTGAGTTTGGACTGCAGCTTGTCTACAGAATGGTAAAGTAGAGAAGCTCACTGGCACGAGGATCTGAGGGGGCAGATGATGATATGCAGTTGACAGGTGATTCAGGACCAACCGCGGACTAATTTATGTTGGCTGTTTTTACTTCCTCATCCTGTACATATTTGGCTTAGGGAATGCCAGGAATTTGCTAGCTGAGCAAGTTTATCCATTTTGCTTTCTAACCAGGCTCCTTCCTGCTGAGGTAGGTTTCTAAAAAAAAATTCCCTCGTTAGGCTCTGTTGTAATAGTAGCAGGCCACGGTTCAAGAGGACAGTTGAAATCTGAAACAAATTCTCTCTGAAAAACGCACTGTGCTGTGTCAGAACACATTTCGGCTTACTACCAAAACATGTAGGACAATTCTAAAACTACATCATCCCTCTATGTTTCGTGCAGACAAGACACGGAAAGACCAAGAGGACAAGGTGGAACATGTAGAAGGTACTCACTACTGCAACATGAGATATTTGTCCTGTTTCCTGACATGAAAACTGAAGATCACACAAGTTGATTGGCTTGGTCAAGCTTAAAATCAACTCTCAGGCTACTATTCAAGACTGATTGTTAGGTTATGTACCTGTTACTAGAAGTGATGACTATTCAATGTGGTAACAAGTCATTATGCATTAACAGATTTAAGAAAAATGCATAAATCTAGCCAGAGTAATGGCTTATCAAAAATCATACTAGTGATTTTCTGACTTGCTAACAACCCTGAATCTTAACTTTCCTCAGTAAGATTCATTAGTAATTTTGCTCATGTTTGGCTTATTCTCATACATTTTAGAAAAAAAAATTGTTAGATGCATCCTACGGGAGTGAGTTCAAAAGTGCAGAGTTAATTTGTGTTCCTAGGGAAGAACTAATGCCCAAGAAATAAAATAGGAGAGAAATAAAATAGGACTATTGTGCCATCTAGTGATGGAACCGCTGCCTTGCAAGTAGTTCACCTGATGGAACTGTTTTGCAATCAGTCTGCAGAATTTCCTGTCTGAAGAATATTCATAAACTTGGCCAAAAGAAATATCTGGTGGCAAAAAATAGTGGGAAACTAAGAGCAAATAAACAGGAGCGGTGATATGGGATAGATTCTTCTTCCTAAGGTTTCATTAGAAGCTGGAGACAAACCCAATTTCTACTCCTGGAGGATCTGCCCTGGGTGCTTTCTACTTCCCTCTCTGTACCCTAAAGCTTTTAGGTTCTATTCTGTGAATTAATGAAGGTTTCACTTCCTGGCATCAGTATCTACTCAGCAAACCTGACACATTCTTCCTTTACAAGTCTGATGAGGGGCTCAGCTGCCACTCTAAGACTGTGACAGAGGCATCATCATCCTGCATGGGGGGTAAAATCTGAACCGTGATGCCCGCACAACGGCAGCTCACCTATTACCAAAACACTACAAAAGTATCACTTCAGGAGTCAAAGATAATAATCAAAACAGAAAACTTGTGATCTCAAGATTTTTTTTTTTTTATCCCAAGAATTTTGTGCAAGAATTTAAGATTCACGGTTAAGGAGGAAACATATTCAGTAATTTTATAACCTTATAATGGAATGAATATGTTCCCTGGAAAAAAAAGAAAATATATTTCAATTTGGTAATGATGTGAGATAGCCATGTCAGTGTTTGTGAAAACATGTTTACTTCCATTATACTTGCACAATTTAAAAAGTTAAGCTAGTTTTTATTCCATCAGGGCTGAGTATGTTTACAGGCACTGGTTGTTGGATCTGATCTCCTCAGGTAGGATGAGTTCTGGGCCTACTTGAGGGTCTAACACTTTCCTAAAAATCTAACAAAAATTCAAATTATGCATAAATTTGACAATTCAACTCTCCACAATTTTATCTGGTCTTTGTATACCTCATTATACACAAGAGCTTCTAGAATATTCTGGAGAAACCAACTCAGAATAATGGGGAAAAACACAGGTAACAGAGCAGGAAATCCTCAGCTCAGTAGTTGTTTGCTGTGTGGCTCTGAAAAGATTCCTACCTTCTCTGAACCTCAATATGTGGATGGAAACCTGAATTAACTACCTTTAGTGTTGAAGAATATACATGAAGTATTTACAAGATGTTAGGTAATCAAGAAATGGTTGTGCATTATTATGAAAAGTGATGGCATGCATCTTAAAACAATAATTCTTAGAACGAGATACTTATGTGGCCCAGGAGTTGACATAGGCAAATCTATAAAGGAGGCCTACATTGTCATTAGATTTATTGTGTACCTTTTCAGCACTACCTCTAAAATCCATACATAAAACTGGCCCAGAAAAGTGACAAGAGGGCATGGAGGACACCAAGCACCCTGGGTGAGTGGAGACGGTACGTCACCAAGAGTCAAACACTACATAAAGCTTTTAAAGACAGGTTTATTTATATATAAGTGCATGAAATTGAATACAGAAACTTTATTAAAATACTGTATATTACAAATTTTTAATCCAATAAATTCTGTGTAATGACAGTTAAGTGCTGGATTCACTTTTAACAGATGTTTTGTGTGTCGGCAGAGTTCACCCTGTATATTACAAAGAGGAGAGCCACAGGTGGACCTCGGAAAGGGTCCCGTGATCAGACACTGGATGATATTAATTGTGCATCTTTTCTTTAAAGCAATGAACTGGAACCTAGATCTCTGTAGACCAACTTTCTAGAATCAAAAATAACTTGCGTATGTTTATTGCTGCCCTTTGAAGAAAATGAGTGGTGAAAAATAATTTAAAATGAAGATCAACATCTCTAAGGCTGACTTGATGCTTTCTGCAATTAAAATACTTAAAATTCACTGCAAAATTTGTGTTTTCCAGGAAATTATGCTATATACACAATGGGATTTGTACATGAATTGGGAAATAAAAAATTGCTTATATAAAATTAAAAATCAATAGTATACAATATTTACAGCTTGTTAGGTATTATATATAAACATAGTCTTTAAATAATCCTTCAAAATTAAACTATTATGTAAACATGCAGTACACATACTCATACAGCGTAGTTTATACTCTTGACAGAAGGGGGGAGTTGTGTTCACATAATGTCAAATATGCTTTTGTTCTGTGTACTACCCCTCCAAGGTGGATCCCTCCCGTCTTGAAGCTTCACAGTACATTTAGTATTTCTATAGTAAAAATAAAGCCCTGATGGTCAACATATTTCTAAAGGTTACGTAAAGTGTCTGCCCTTGTACTACAATATAAAACTAACATTGTTCACACTAGAATCTCTAGTTTACAACAAAACTAAACTTTAAAATCCCACATTTAATTTGCTTGACTACACCCCCCTCCCAAATTTCATACTTGGAAAAAGCAAAAAGTGAAGGAAAATGCCACATCATGAAAACATAATGAAAGCAGCTGTCACCTGGCACGGCCAATGGCTCAATTACTGGCTCACACCAAACCATAAGGAGTCGGTGGCCAACGCCCATGTCAACAACACCCTTCCTGAACTCTGGATTCCCATTCATAGGTGACGTGCCCCAAGCCAACTCATCGGTGCCAATCCTGAACCTCTAAATTCACTTTGCAAGAGTATCTTAACTTTCAAGGCACTAAGGTATCATTTAGCTTTTACGAACGGTACTATGATTTAACTAAATGATTCATCAGTGGTCTGAGAGTTAGCACAATTTGAAAGTGAGTCTTAATACCTGTCAGGTAAATTGTACTTTTACTATTTAAATAGACATTTTAGTAGTTGCTCCCCTCATTCCAGAATGACTGGAGTCAGGGGCTAATACTCAGAGTAAAATTAGATGAATTTTACCAAGTTACATAGCTAAAATGAAAAACACTGTGAATTTTCCTATTTGTTCATCTAAACACGTAGAGCTCATGTCAGAAGGTGCGTGTGCTAAGAAGAGGGCCAGGATGTTCTTCAGCTCCTCCACGGTCATTTGATGTCACCAACACCAGGAAAGGGCCAGTGGTCAGACTCCCAGCTCACCTAGTACTAAGGGGAAGTCATTTTCACTACCCTTGAACAAAGGCCTCGACTTACTGTCTATGAAGAAAACTTCAAAATGTTCCATCCCAAAGTGACTTAATGATTGAGTGCACCCACTTTAATTTAAAAGGTGGGGGGTAACTTTTCATTATTAGTAGTACTCTCAAGCTAACATTCATTTAATGGGGCTCTAAAAAATAAATGATGTTTTTTAGTGATCACAATATGTATTTAGGAGAAAAGGCATCATAGTGATGGGATTCAGGTGACCATGCACTACGGTGACTCTTCCTGTGTCTTTCTGTCACACTACTTTCCAGTTTCGGTTTAAGACCTAAATTCCCCAAAAGGGGACAGCCTAGTTACTACAAAAGAGTGATATACTGTATATGTGTACAGTATAGAATCTTAAAAAAAAAAAATGTGCAGAGGTCATGCTGTCTGGACTTGCCCAGTTATTTTTCAGTAACAGTTGCATAACCACAGGTATGGAAAAATCTCTTCTGAACCAGCACTTCCTCTTCCATCAACAAACTGTTTGTGTGTCTAAACCATGACATATGGCATCTGTTTGGGAAAAGGAGGAAGATTTTAAAGAAACTGCTGAATTAGTTCTCAAAATCAAGGGAGGGCTATTATGTAAGCTCAACATATGTTCAAGGGATGTAAAGAATGTCAAAACGAACCCCCTCAATCAGGGAGAAGGGATCAGAGTTCACAGCTCGGCTCAGAGACTTGAGCATCACCACAAATTTAATCAAGAATTAACCAGCATATCTCCACATTTAATGAAAATACTTCATGTAGTATTGCCCCAAACAAATTCACAAATGTGTGTTGAGATAACTCACTCAACAACGTCCTGAACAACACTGCATTGCCCGTGACCACCAGATCCTCCAGTGGGAGGGGTGACCTAGCACCACATGCTGCTTCAGTGCAGCCCACATACAAAGGTACACGTGCTGTGTAAACAGGCGGCACACACTCTTGCACAGGGTAGCTCCAGCCTAACAGAAGGGGGGAACTAGAGTCACGTGTCACAGGTTTGTCCTGTGGCCCCTTAATATTTCCTATCTTTAAACTTTCTCCTGCTAAAAAGTGGTACCACATATTTGAAAAGCCATAACTCCTAATCAAATGATGTTCCTTCTACCTGGAGAGTTTCAGAAAGATGGGAAATTACGGTAGACAATGAGACATTCAATGACTCGTCCATTTTAACCACGGAAAATCTCACTCCTGATTATCATCACAAGACTTTACCCAGCTATCCAACACGTGTCACCAAACTTCTCGGCAATCTAAGTCTACTAGAATTTCTTCAGTGACTTTTTGCATGTTCCTCTTAATCTTGAAAACAAAATAAATAAGGATGTTTAAAGAAGTTGTTTGAGACTTTCTGAGAAAACTTGGGGATAGTAAGAATGAAGTAGTTTGAGAATATTTCCAAAAGTGCTCTTAGTATCTTGTTACTTCCTGAATTGTAAAATGAACATACATTTAAAATAATGGTCAAAAACAACAAAAAAAAACCCAACCAGTAAACAAAACAACCACAACAGCCAGGACCCCAATCCACCGTGGTCCATGGAAGAAAGGGGACATATGTGACAGAGGGCTGACTCTTACCCACTTTTCTGTCTCCAAAACCAGGATAATAATTTGCATACAACAGAGAGTTAATGAATATCCTAAGTGAATCGGAGGGAAAATGCTGGTAACCTCCACTCTTGTCCCACTTCTACCTGTGGCACCGAACCTGTAACTCAATCCTGTTGGCCACTCCCACCACCACTGAAGCCCAGAGGCATTTTCAGATAAATATCTGAGAAAATGTGAAGGACTAGGTTTATAACCTAGTCTCTTATAAAAAGACTTTTTTTTTCTTCTTTTAGTTTTCATGTTAAAAATGTAGGTAAAATGTAGAAGTAAATAAAAATAGGTGAATTTCATAAAACATATGCAACTGGGTTTTGCAAAATGTTATTTAAGAAAAATTCAGGCAACTACCTAAGGATCATTTACTGTCAAATACATATTACTTTGCCTGAATTTGTAAATAATCTCACATAATCCTCACAAAACCATAAGCAGTATTGATCACACTTCACACTGTATGAACAGAAGCTCAGAGATGTTAAGTGATTTGTTCACATCAAAAAGTCGACAAGCTACAGGGCCTGGACTCAAGCCAAAGTCGCTGGCTGAGAGTCCAGTCCTCTCCTGCACCATGGCGATGACAACTCAGTTACTGAAATTTCTTTTAGTGGATGAAGTGGGAAAATCAGAATCACAGCGCAGGCAACAGGATCAGACTCTAACTAGAATCAGGAAGCCAACAGTCCCAACGTTTTAGGATTGGCAATTGTCTCTAAGCCAGCTCTTGGTGGACTGGAGGACAGGAATCCCCTCCTGGTCATCTCTGCTGTACAGCAGACAACACTTGGTCCAGCATTTTACACACCCTAGATCTGCAAAAAGTCTTTACAAAACTGCATGAGCTGGTCGTGAGCATGGCCCGGGCATGTTAATGCGGCAGGCCCACTCCCTCATCTTCCTCAGGGTGCTCCAAGACCTTTTCCAAAAAACTCTTTGATTTTAAATCATCCCTATTCCTTACATCACCAATAGAAAATATACAGGCCAATTCATTTCTTTCTGTCATTTAAAATACAAACAGAAGTGATGTGGGTTTGGAAATGTAGCAGTGAAAATGTGTGCTACAAATATGAGGAAAGGAGATGGGGAAACAAACTACCACACTGTTTGGTAAGCAGTATGACCTAAAATAAAAACTAAGCTGTGAGCAGGGAACATGGCCATCATTTAGGACTTTCTCAACCCTAGGTGACCAAAGAACTATGCCAGGGGACAGACCACTTGTACCTCCCTTCTTCTAAAGTTTTTAAATTGGTAGCTTGCACGAGGCTCCTGGCTAACACATCTATGGCCATGTCTAACCAGTATGTTAAGAAATAACTTTGGGTTTGTAGAGTTCCTTCTGTGGGGAATTGATTTACTTTCAGCAATATTTTACTGAACATTTTTAAAATAAAGGAGTGTCAACAGCAGAGGATTTACCCCTTCCTTCTTCACTTTGTCACAAAGAAAATTTACTGCTAAATCACATACAAATCTTAAGAAATTGTAACCCAACTATGTCAATAAGGACTTTTGTCATGTCCCAAACAAGGGTCTCCGGCACTATTAAACCAAGAAAACTTTTCCAAAATTCAAAAATCTCAAACATCCTCTATGTAAAAGATAATTCAACTAAACAAATATATCAAATTCTCCACTAGAACATGAAAGTGTTCATTAACAAAGCTTTCCAGTTAGACTGTATTCATATATAGCTCTCTATATATGTATATAATGATATATATGTGTACACATACATATCATTAAACATCTCGTCTCTATAGGAAAACTACTCACTTTTAAAAAACCTTGGCATATAAATAGCTATTAAAACAATTTCATAAATTCATACTATTCAACTGCATTTCAAAACATGAAAAGAGTGCCAGTTCTACAAAATCCCTCTGGGAATAACTGAGAACAGCAACGGAAACAAAAATATCCCCCCAAATTAAAAGTACACACACATACACACACATATACACCCAAACCTTAATGTAAGTCAACTTGGTAATGAGATAGCTGCAGGACAACTACAGACTAACTATTAACCATTGAGTTATACTTTCATTCTAGAGTACAAACAAGAGTTCAGATCTCTTTGGTCCACGTATTAATATATTCAATGTCCATGTTATTTTCTGACTAATTTTGGATTATGAACCATGTGCTCCATATTACCGTGATAATTTTCTTAAATCATAAAATTGCCATGTTTAAAAAATTCATTCTGTACTTCTAAAACAATTTTCACATTATTGGTAATTCCTCTAGAATACAAATGCTTTAAATTATTGATAGGATAGCCAAAGTAAAGAAAGAATACAATTCAAGTCCAACAGAAAAGGAGAAATCAAATTGACCTGGAAAATTTACGTCTACATTTAATTTGAGGAAACATTAGAAATATAAAGAACACATAAATTAATAGTAGACATGTACAAAATAAAAAGAATCAATTTTAAAATTTACTTCAAAGATCTTAAGATTGAATATTTGCTAATTGGTTGTTGCTGTCTGAACAAATTTCTAAGCTAGTGACAGTAAACCCTTAAAACTGGCTTCCATATAGGTAAAAGTATCCTCCTTCCCAACTCTCACATTAAATTAATATATTCTTTTTGATGGAGGAAAAGTAGCATAGGTAACAGGAGTCTTAAATTTGAATGGGAGCTAAAGTGAACTTACATTTTTAAAAGTTGACTTAAATAAAGAAGCGAGGGGACTCTTTTGTCTGGACTGTTCTCTGTATTCTCTATAATGGCTGCTCCTTTGAGTTAGCATGTTTATAAATTGCAACTGGCCAAAAAAGTCTCATTAGGAGATTCAACCAGACTAGGGTCTGTGTTTTCTTACTTCTTGTCTTCTTACAATTATGTATTGACAGAATCTCTTAAAATGCTTTACAAAGGATAGTGCCACTTTTAATACATGTGATCTTATTCCAGTAAACTTAAATTGTAACTTAAAAACTGAACATCTGAAATGAATCACTCAAATATATATATATATATATATATATGTGTGTGTGTGTGTGTGTATAAATATATACACACATATACATATATGTACTTCACTGATTTGTTAAGACTGCCAAGTTTTAAAATTATTTATTGTATTCCCCAATTTTTATTTAGCAGAATCATGACATTGCCACATATCCAAAGTAAGAAGAGTTTATTATTCTTCCTAAATAACTTACTTGGTACTTATATACAAACGAGCCTTTTTATTTCCAGAGCCTAATTTAGGCCACTCTTTCAGTATAGTTAATACTCCAGAATGAAAGATTGTTTTGTCAAAAATCAAGACAGATGCAACAAGTAATATAATCCCACTGCTGCTAATGACAAAGATGTTTTCTCCATGAGATACAAGGCAAACTTTCTTTAGAAGGGTCAAAGAATGCAACATGCATTTCAGACTTTTTTCTTACAAAATTCATAAGAAAAATTTCAAATTATATTTTTATGACACATAAGTGACAATATGTGTGACCCATAAAGTTTTTTTAATTCATATAAATAAAATATTTATGCATGAGGAAAACTATTAAAAGGGTGTCCAGTTAGTGAAAAGTATGCACCCTACAGGTCTACTTTGAATCCTTAAAACAGTTTAGCTCATCTTCCATTAAGAAGACTATTATTTTCCGCATAAATTAAATAGTAATGCCTAAAAAGCCCTAAATCCCAGAAACGCTCCACATTAAAACCAAATAATTTCTCCCATATTAAATGAGTTATTTAGCACTCATAGGGGATTCAGCATTACAAAACAAAATCTTACCACATGACCTGAATTCATGTCAAATATGTTCACAGCACTCATCTACATCTACACTTGCAAACTGTCACATGATCAATGTCAAAAAGAAAAGTTTGGCACATATATCAATTCCTCAAAACGTCCCTGTAACTTAACACAACACTGTTAAGAACAATGATTTCAACACCAATGTTAACCTGATTGGCAGCTAAACAAGGTGCTTTTTTTTGAGGCTTCACATGGGTCTTGTGCACCTTGCCTGGGACGGAGGCACGTAAGGTGCAGTGCGGTAGTGCAATCACTTGGACGCCAGAGGGCAGTCTTTCCACACAGCGCAAGGTCTGTCTTCCTTCCGTTTCGACTGGCTCGGTCCACAGCTCCTTCACAATGCCATTTTCAGGGAATCTGTACATCTGCTTCCTTATGTGAAATAAGACATTCCCTCAGAAACCTCAAAGTGTGGCGAGGATCCTTGAAAAGGAGATGATTAATGTCAATACGGTCTGCCCAACGCCCCATACCAGCGCTTCCAGCGGGGCCATGTTCTTCCCTGCCACTCGGTAGATGCCGGCCACCGCGGCACCTGGAGGAGAGAGGGGAGAAGGACAAAGCGCGCTGCTTAACTCCACCGGACAGGACCCCTGCGCATTTCATCAAGGCAGAAAGCCCCTCACTCTCCTCATGAGGTACACTGTTTGGGTTTCCAGGTGATTGGTAAAAACTACCTTTAGCATACTACATTTAACCATTTAACCTCTTAACTGAAAAGATGCCTTTTCTATCCAACCCAAAGACATGCAGGTGCAGTCTAAGCTGCACACATAATACCATAATACACATAATACTGTAAAAACTGATGATCCATTATCGTCATCTTTCTCCTGGACGTTCAACTGCTTAGACCTGATCAGCCTTTCTACAAATATGCCACATAATATGTTGATAATTATAAATGATAATGCAGAGAAACTACATAATTTAATTTCCAAATTTTAAAAGAAAATTTTAAAATTGTCCCTTTTTTACTTGAGTAAAATTAATTCATTCTTCAGTAACATAAAATATAACAATGCATTTCACCATATAAAATAATTTCACCATATAAAATAATTTACTGAATTTTTAAAAGAAACACACAACTGTAAAATTATTTGGAGACTAGTAAAAGATAAACTTGATATCTTTTCTAGAAAATATTTTAGGTTATGCACCCTTCCCAGAATGAGAGAATCTCAAGAGTTATGAAGAAACTCAGGGCCTAATTCAGTACTTCATGTTAACATATTATATATAATGACGAAGAATTTTTTTAAAAAAATTTAGTTTTAGATGGACATAATACCTTTATTTTACTTAGGTATTTTTATTTGGGGCTGAGGATGGAACCCAGTTAGTCTCACATGTGCCAGGCAAGTGCTCTACCACTGAGCTATACTCCCAGCCTCCTAAGTGGCTAATTTTAAAAGCACATTTTGAAATCATAAAGAAGGAAACATTTAAATTATTATATATAATAGACCGAGATGTATTAAAACTACTTCTTTAGGAAAAACCTGTTTACATATCCTAGGATGGTTAAACAAAGGAACATAAGAAAAAGAATAGAAATACATTTTTCAAAGACATTGAATTGACAATTACTTAAGATAGAAACCTACTCAGAAAAATTAGCTAAGGATGAAATTATTACTTGCCAATTTAAAAACAATTAGCTAAGTATTGACTCTTTGAACTTAACCTAAAATCTCCCAAATATACTGGGGATTGAAATGGAGCAAATTATATGCATTCATTAGTATGTATTTAAGAATATTTCAAAATGAACCCCCCTCTTAGTGCATAACTATAATGCACTCAAGATTTTTTAAAAAATCTCCCAAATAATAGTTATTATATCCCTCAGAGTAGTTCTTTATAAGAGATATAAGTGGGAAAAGCAAATCACCAATCTATGCCAAGGGCTTCATATGCATGTTTAAAAGTAAATTAAGATAGCATATTTACCACATACTGTGTATCTTGCTAGCAAATTTACAAATATTATCCTATTTAAATATCATACCACCCCCCCTCAGTATTATAACCTAATTTAAAGATGCAAAAAACAGAGGTTCAGAGAGGTTTAATTACTAACTCAAGGACATACATAAGCACAACAGCTAGGATCTCAATGCAGGACAATCTGGTTAAAAATCTCTAAATCATTCTACCATTTATTTTATGCTAAGGTACAAGAGAACAAAGAATTCAGAAAAATCATGAAGCAACTGATAGTAATTTCAATATTAAATAAAACACCAATATTTACTTATCAAGTAATAAAAATCACTTGTACTACTGGTCATACGCCCAAGTTTTAAAACTAGATGAAATTCTCAAAAAATTTAAAAGATCTTCTGCCTTCTTTTTTTATCAGAAATTATGTCAAAATAAACCTGAGAAATAGTACTCTGGTGTTTGTTTGTTTGTTTTCTTTTATGGCAAACAAAGGATAAATTTAAACCTTTCTGGTTTTACCTAAGGTCTACAGCCTGGGGATTGAAGCTGGGCTCAAGGGTTAAAATCCAAGTTTCTCTTCTTAGCTGCATGCTACATAGGAGAATCATCACCCACTCAGCTGTAAAATGTGGAGGTGCAGGCAGGTGAGGGTTGACCTTTAGGAGATAATACTACTATAACATTGCCTGGAACAGCGGCTGGTCCTAACAAGTATTCCAAAAATCTGGGCTAGTAGTCAAAATCCCAATCAGAGGATCAATCTTTACAAGTGGTGTTGAACAACTGGGTAGTCATGTGGAAGAAGTAAATTTGGGTCCCTACTTCACATCATTCCCCAAAACAAATTTCAGAACTAAATGCTCAAAATAAACCACAAATATAAACCAAAATATAGGTAAATATATTTAGGACCTTCCAAAAAGAAATCCTCTTAAGACTAAAAAAAAAAAAAAAAAAATCTGTGTATGTAGAAAAAAAAAAAAAAGACTACAAATAAAGAGCCAAAAATCATAAAGGTTTGATGTCAAGGAAGACTAGAAAAATATCTGCTAAGTGTAAAACAAACAGATGATTAGAATTCAGAACAGACACACATGTATATTCATGTGCATGCATGTAAGTATCAGTGCAGTGCTTTCTGTAAACAAAAGCAAAACTGCTGCTCATCAGCTCAAGGATGCATAAACCATACCAAGTCCACACCAAGGACCTCACAATTTCAAAAGAAAAATATGAGGGGGGCTGAAGGAACAGAGGAGGGATAGGAAAAGGAAGACAGTTTTAAGTCTAATTTTAGTATTTAACTTGCCTAAACTTCCCTATAATTCCAAGAAATTTTCATGATAATGGCCAAAATACCAATCATATTTTTCAAACAGAAATATTTATACAGTAAAAATGTTTACTGAACTCTTGATTTTAAGTAACAGGAAATGCATTTACTTGTAACAGAGAATAATGAATGTGACTGAACTTTCATGTGCACATAATAAATGCAGCACAATGAATCCCAACATCAAGTATCTCCATCCACAAGACACTAATTAAAAAAAAATAAGTGAATTTCAGAAAGATCAGTAGAGTAGAGTCAGGGCAACAGAGAGAGGGGCAACAGGGAAGTGCTGGGTAGCACTTTATATTCCATGCTCTCATAATTATGTCAAAATGAATCCTAATATTATATATAACTAAAAATAATCAATAAAAATAAAATTAAAAATAAAAAATAAAAACACATAAGCTGACATAGAATCAGTTATACAAGAAAGAAAATAAAACAATAAACACTTCCCACTAGTGCAAACATACATACACATATGTATGTATGTATGTATGTATGTATGTATACACATGTTGGTTGAATATAATGCAGAAACTGAACCTGGGGGAAATACATCAAACTCAAAATAGGGATTAATTTTGAGAAGAGCACATGTTTGATAGTGTTAGTCAAAGAACTTTATCCATAGTTTTTTAACATGGCAAATAAAGTGACATATTATTTATATAACTAAAACATTTTAAAATTAATTTTAGTATCTAAATTGCCTAAACTTCCCTATAATTCCAAGAAATTTTCATGATAAAGGCCAAAGTATCATTCAATCATATTTTTCAAACAAAAACATTTATACAATAAAAAAGATTACTGAACTCTTGATTTTAAGTTGCAGGAAATACATTACTTTTAACAGAGAATAAATACATTCCCTTGGATGTAGCTATGGTTTATTCCTTTCCTGAGGTTGGAGAGAATTTTGAGTATCAATGTGCCAGAGCTCTTCCATTTTTCTACTGGTGACCTCTGTTCCCAACACTTAACTCACAAACACTAACCTCATCAACACTCCCATACTTGACCCCTGAGCCACAAATGCAGTCAACAATTTCTTAGCAATCCATTCTTCACAGTGCCCTGGTGGGATGGGCATATTTGACCCCACCAGGCAATGTCAAATAGCTTTCCTGAATTAGCTATACCAACTTAATCCCAGGTACTCCATATCAAGAATAGAAGGAGTACATGTGTTGATACCTTAATCTTTTTCTCTTTTGTCAATCTGGTAGGGAAATGATGTTATCTTTATGATTATTTTACAATCCCCTGACAATTAATGTGATTAAGCTTTTCTTTACAAACTATTGGCCATGAGGATTTCTACTCCTATGAAACACCTGTCAAATATTTCATCCATTTTTCTACTGGGTTATTTTTTTCTGATTTAACTCATAGGGGGTTTTTTGTTGTTAAAAATACAGCTTGGATATTAATCTTTTTTACATTTATATATGTTGACAAATAGCTTTCCCCAACATACACTGTAGTTTTCCCTCTCTCTAAGGTGTCTTTGCTGGTCAATAGACAGTTGAAAGAATACACATAGACTTCACTTTCTTGGTGAAACATGAGGCTAAATTCATATACAAAAATTAAAAAGACAGAAGTTAGACAGGGTGCTCAGAATAAATGATAGATGTCTGGAACTTCCACTGTGAACAATGGCAGAAAATTTAGAAATACATCCCCAAAGCATGAAGGGGCAAGACCCGACTGGCATAGTGGATATGAAGTAAAGAAAACAACACAGTAAATTCGCTCTGCAGATGAGTAAAGGGTGTAAACCTAGGAAGGGAGGACAGTCATTGGTGGTGAAGAGTGTCACCAAAGAGCAGCACAAACTGCTGCAGGGGTATTCCACGGAAAAGCAATGGGATGTGCCCAGCATATTTCCTCACAGCAATAAAAAAAGGGGAGCACAATTCATTTTAATAGTGTGCTGAATTTATCAATTCATAAAGTTAGATCAGGGGTGGGTATCCTGTAATCCACAGGCCAAATCTGGCCAAACCTGTTTTTGTGCAGCATGAAAGCTGGGAATGGTTTTCACATATGTAAATGGATTAAAAAACAATCTACAGAATACTTGTGATATAGGAAAATTATATAAAATTCAAATGTTGCTATCTATACATAATGTTTTATTGGAATAATTAACCCATTCTGACACTGAACCCTCTCCACAATCCAAGACAACATTCACAAGGCAAATGAGTCTAAACATGTCTCTTCTCTTCTCATGTAGTTTTCATCGTGAGTAGCAACTGGCTCACGCTGGCCTCAGCAAATAATCTGTGCAAAACTTTCATTTTTCCTTTTTTCTGTAAAATTTGGATAAAGTATGAATTGACTATTCCTTGAATATTTGGTAGAACTCACCTGCAAATCCTGGTTAAATCTGGAGGGTCTGTACCACTTAAATTGTTTAAAAAATAATCACTGTTCTAATCATATTTTCCATTTCTCCTTATAACAATCTTAACATTTCATATTTAGAAATATGTAGCTGTTCATAAAACTATTTTTATGATTCCTTATTTTATCTTTATTACTAAAAAGTTATTTTATCTATTATACCTATATTTTACACTTTCTTAGTATGCCAGCAGTCTATTCATCTATCTCTGTGACATACCAGTTTTTTGTTAACCTTTCATAAGCACAACTTTCAAAACTTCATAAGACTAAACAATGTAGTTTTAAAAGATACCATGCACATTAGCCATAAAATCAAAAGTAATCATTAATTACCTCACTCCAAAATATGGAACCTTCCTATTAGAATAAAACATTTAAACTCTAATAAAACGCAAGGAAGATATCAACAAATGGAGAGATATTCACGTTCTTGGGTGACATAATTTGATATGACAATTCCTCCAAAATTAACCTTCACATCCAATGAAGTCCTAATAAAATCACAGACATACTTTTTTAGGGATTCAGTAGACATTAAAATTTTATATGAAAGAATAATGGTCCTGAGTAGTTATACTAACTTTGAAAAAGAAAAGTAACAAGAAAGGCCCTATCCTTGACAGATACTAATACATATGACAAAATTAGAGGCATAAAAAATGTAGCCCTGTTGCAACGACAGAGTTTGGAGACAGACCCTGCACATAGAGAACACAATGCACAGTGAAGGTGACACTTCAAATCAATGAAGAAATGAAAGACTTCCAGAGGATGGTAAGAACTGACTTACTATGTGAGAGGGGAAAAGGCCCACCTAGAATCTAAATAACACCAAAGACAAAGGTCACTCAAAATGGAGGGGAGGGGGATATGATTATGACCGCAATACCAGATGCTACATCCATATGCCTATGCTTCCTTTCGCTTTAAATGGTAGGGGTAAACAGTGCTACAGGCACCACTGGCTGACAAAGTCTAAAATATTTACTGCCTGGCCCTTTAAGAAAGTGTCTGCTGACTCCTGCTCTAGATGAATTAGAAACCTTAATATAAAAGGTGAAACTACAAAATTAACAGAAGTAAATACATCAGGATTGGTATGGGGCAAAAACTTCTGAAATAAGACCCTAAATTATAAAAGAGAATAACCTCTTTAAGCTGATTACAGGCCCTTCTACTCAATAAATGACATTGTGGGTAAAGGTAACTGATAAAAGAATGAGAAAGTTATCTGTAAAGTCCAAAATCAACAGGAGACCAGTATCCCTGATCCAACTTAATAGGGAAATAAGAACATCCAAAGAAAACCACAGAATTTTAAAAAGCACTGTGCAGAAAAGGAAATCTAAATATATAAATAAGCATAAGAGATGCTGAACCGCATCAGTAATCTGAGAAATGCAAATTCAACCATCACTGAGATGTCTCTTTACACCTTTAGAATAGCTAAAATAAACAGCTAAAATTAGGCACTATTTTGAAAGAAAGCCATTTTTTTTTTTGCCAATTCCACATTAACCATCAATACTAACTAAAATGAAAAAAGCTACTCTTTTGGAAATAAAATCCAAGAAGTAACAAGTGTTAACAGATATGGATTAAAACTCAGTGTCTTATTGAATATGGATCTTCAGCACTTGCTTGCTGAACTGAATATACAGACATGAGTAAGCTGGCACTCATGACCTGCATTTAGGGAAAAAAATACAACTAAATATTCATATTGACTAGTTTTCTCAATTTAAGTATTTGCAAGTCCAATAGCCAAAGAAATCTGAATGTTTTATTGATAATGTGGGCGCAAATTTTTACTTCAAGTTCTATAAGACTTTCATACTTTTAATGATTTTAAAATATAACAGTGCAGTTTCTAAAATCACTGGCTCATTTTATTCTTGACTAAATTGAAAGTGGGTTATATGTGCATACACATCATTAGAGACAAATGGAAGTGGAATTACATTCTTCACACTCTCTGAAGTTTGACAGTAGCACACATATGTGCATACTGCTTACAACTCCTGAGAAGCTGTTCCTCCTCCTCCTCCTCCACTCATGGTTCCAGTTACAACACAAGCCCTCATCAAAGGCATGGTGGCCCCCATCATGTGTTTCTAAATACCTCCACAGGGACTAATAACAGATTTGGATTTTTTGTCCTTTGTCACAGTTCTTACATCAACTCCTTCCTTTCCAACCCCAGCTGTTACTCTATCTCAGATCTTGAGCACAGGCTCACTAGTAATTCCTCTTGATTCTCTCTCCTTTAATTTTCCGCCTCCTCCTTCCCTGCTCCCTTCCTTCTTTTTCCCCCTTATTCTATCCACCCATCTAACCAGTACTCTTTGGACATCTATCATGATTTTAATCTTTTAAAGTTGGGGGTATAGCAGTGATGAAGATGGACAAAGTCTCTGTCCTTCCAGACTTTCTTCTTGGTTTTTTACATATACTCTATATTTAGCAATCAAACAAATTTTGAATTTTGAATTAGGATGTCCCTTGTCAGCCCCATTCAAAAATATCTACTTGTCTCCAATGGACAGCAGGATAAAGCTTCAAACTTTCCAGCTGGCTTTCTAAGGCCCTCTAGGTCCTGGCTCTATTCTCTCTTTCCAGCTGAATCTCCTACCACCCCATTATGCATGCCCTGTGCTTTGGCTCAAAGTTCCTGTTTGAAATCCTATGTATGGAAAAATAGGTGAGGCATCATGTGACAAAATTAGAGCTAATGAGAAACAACAAAAGCAAAAACAAAAACTTAACAAAGACAGAAAAAACAAATTTATTAAAATTCTTCATTTAGTAAGAAGAAAGGATAAGAGACTACCTGATAATTCCCACGAGTATTTTATGATTGTCTTATCAGTGCCAGAGGATACTCACACACACACACACACACACACACACACACACACGAGCAGGGCTTTCCTCTCAAGGCTAGGAGGGCAACCACTTCAAAAGAAGTAAAGGAGGGAGGCCCTTAACTACAAAGATAAGGCCTTTCTCTTATTTCTGGGGCAAAAATCAACTGAAAGGAAGAAGCCTCTCATAAAGACAGATCCAGCGGTAGCTATGAGCTGCCCCAAACATCTGGAAGCAGGACAGAAGGGAACATGCTATAAGCCTCCATTACCTATTAGCAGGGACAGAATCAATGGCAGCACAGAGAAGCAGCCAGTCGCCAACAGAGCCATACCAAGGAAACAGCATGGCACTTCAGAGTCTGGATACATCCAAGTTCTGTCAACTAGCAGCTGCAGAAACCAGAACTAATTTTGAAGTCAAAGTTAGAGCTGGGGTCCAAGTTCAGTGTCAAGAGAAGCTCAGGAGGACAAAAGTAGAATGCACAAGGTGGCCTCGCAGAACACTTATAGTGGTCGCTAGAGGGCACTCTGAAGTGGTTAATTTCTAGCTGGCCAGAGAAGATCTGTCACAAAACTTTAGGTACTTCTAAAAAGAAATGTAATTATATTTTGCAGCCACAGGCAGATACCACCAAAGACCCAGTGGCCATACTTTCACTATTTTTTATGACAATTATCACTTTCATATTTTTTGTGCCTACCTTTCTTCTTTTCTAGATAATGAGAAGCTACAATAACTATAAGATAAATATTACCATTGAACTGCTTTGCCCAGTGCCAATTTTTCTGAGTATTTCTAATTCCCACAAAACCATGCATAATGACTCTTCAAATAGTGAAGCACAACTATCTATAACACAATGAGAATACTTACCCAAATGATAAGTACATAAAAAAATATATGCCCTGAAACAAAACAAAACCTACTTACTGGTAATCATTGCTCCAGTTACAGAAGCCAAAAACCCAATGCTGACAGCAATGACGGAGATGACTCTTCCCTGCCTGTGCCTCTGCAGCATCACAAACATCAACACTCCTGCAGCACCATGGACAAACAGAGAGGAGAAGAGAGCCCACAGGAAGATCCAGTACCACATCTCTGAAAGGAAAAGCAAAGGATTAACCATTCTGTTAACACATCTTAGAAAATTCACTTAACAGTGAGCACCCATGGTTTGTGGAAAGGTTGAATGAGATGATGGATGTGAAAAATTCCTAGCACAGCACCTGACATATAGTGGTACTAACTAAATCCTGATGATTACAAGCACGCTTTTCATTCTCTTTCCCCTGGTACCTTGTTGCGTTCCAATCAATCCACAAGTTTGCCATAAATATTGATGCTCTGTTCTTGTAGATTCATCTCCCTGGTCATACTTGTGAGGTACAATTTTGGCCAGCAATGAATCCAAGCTGGGCCAATGATTCTCCTCCCTTGGGAATTCAAGATTGGGACCAACTGAGAGTCTCCATGGTCCTTGAATAGCTGAAGCCAAATCAATTTCCTCATCATGCAATGAAGCCACGATAAAGGAAGAAAAAGAGATCCTCCAAACAAGAGACAACCAAGTCCCTTATTTCAGTAATTTTTAAGTCCTGTCACATTACTATTTTAAAACATAACACCCCAGTTTCTTTGTTTAAAAAATCCTTTGTTTTATTTAAACTGATTAAGGTAAATTTTCTATTACTAATAACTGAAAAGAGCTGATTTCAAAATGTTTCACTGTCACCAGGAAGATCATCCTTGGTATATACACATTGTATAATGCAATGGATCTCATCTACTCTTTGTGCTAAGCATTCACTAGTAAGCGTAAAAGTCAATAAATAAAGAGCACAAAAATAAATTAGTTAAATGCATTTTATCCAATCCAATTATCATTAAAGTACCAATATATAATGTTGGTGGGAATTTAAAATGGGTGCAACTGCTATAAAAAAAACAGTATGGCAGTTCCTCAAAAAAGTAAAAATAGAATTACCATATGATACAGCAATCCCTCTTCTGGGTATATAGCCAAAAGGACTAAAAGTAGAATCTCCAGGAGATACTGGCACAACCATGCTCAAAGTGGCATTATTCACAATAGCCAAGTGCTGGAAGCAATCCAAGAGTCCATCAATGGACAAATGGATAAACAAAATGTGGCATATACATATAATGAAAAATTATTCAATTTTTAAAGGTCACATGGTTCAACATGGAAGAACCTTGAGGACATAATACTCAGAGAAATGCTCCAGTCACAAAAGGCCTAATACTGCACCATTCCACTTGCATGACTATCTAGAGTAGTCAAATTCACACAAACAGAAAATGCAGTGGTTGATGCCAGGAGCTGAGAGCAGGAGGAAGGGTGAGTTACTGGATCTAAGAGGTGTGGAGTTTCAGTTTTGATAAAAAGAAAAAGTCTGGAGATTGGTTGCAAAACAACATAAATATACATAATATTCACCTAACAACTATACATTAAAAATGGTAGCTTTTATTTGGTGAAATAAAAAATATACTTGGTCTCTGACATGTTTGCTGGCACAGAGCTTCTAAAACCCTTGGAATTTCCTGACAAAGGTGCCTTTTGCTATTTATAAGTAGTTTTTTCATATTCTATTTGAGTTTATGCCAGTGAGGTGACTGAGGCACCCACACAGCCTCCTGAGGTACTGGTCACCAGGAGGACCATGAAATTATAAAAATTGGCAGTATCCACCTCCAGGAAGGTCTGGAGGCTAAGCTCTACAAAATTCCTAAATCTGTTAAGTTTGGGGGTTGCTGAACACATGAAGGCGCTGTGAGGGTGGCATGCCCAGAAAGCACAGAAGCCCATGACTCGCACTTCTCCACTCCCTGCCCCGTGCACCTCTTTCATCTGGCTGTTCCCCAAGTCGTGTCCTTCATAATAAGTGAGTTTTAAAAAGTGTTCCCTTAAGTTCTGGGAGCCACTATAGCAAGTGATCAAGCTCCATGAGAAGGGCATGGGAATGCTATGTAAAGCAGGGTAGAAGGATTGGAAGTTCAGACTTGGAACTGGCAGTCTTGTGGGACTAAGACCCACATCAACCTGTGAGGGTGACCCTTACTGTCTAAAGAAAGCTTCAGGATTACACTGAATTACAGGACACCCAGGGGGTATACTGACACACTATAGTTATCACGGAAAAAACGGAACTCTACTGAGAATATTTAGTTTCACTAGTTTTCTTATTACTACTATTATTGGGAATTACCTGATAGATCAATGTAACTCTGTTGTGAATGGGCCTGTAGAGATCTTGGCCACTCTGTGTAAGCAAGTCCAAGGACCTACTTGTAAGCGGCAATCACATGAAACTTGTGACTAGTTAAAGTGAAGAGAGCTGCAGGATCCTGAGGGTAGAGCAAGAGGGGTACCCATGAACCTCAGTGGGAGAAGAAACAACAGGACAGGAGGGGATACCACAGCCTCTCTGAATCTGTTGGCTTCACTGAACAATTTGTCTCTAGAATGTAATCAATTGAAGAATTTGCCCCTGTATATCTGTACTAAAACATTCTAAAGCCAAACGTTAAAACATTATATCAGTTAACAGGAAAACATTCTGACATATGCAGTAAAAGGGAATCTGAAAGCATTATCTCCAAATGGATTGCATCATGTAAATTCAGCCAAATATGAGCCCTGAATAACTTGAAGACCTCCTCTCATGGTCTTGCACTTAACTTTACATTTGTTCCAATAGGACTCATGGCTTGGGTATATATGGCAAGAGGGAACACAAAATGGAACCTGGGATCATTACGGTAGTAGACTCCAAACAACACTAGAAAAAATAGCTCTGCTCCCAATCTGCAACTGTCATCAGCCCCAATTACAAAGTCATTCACCAATTATCTTCTGTGCTTTTTAAAAATCTCTCAAAAATGCAGTTATGAGAAATGAATTTCTCTAAATATCTAAAAATATTGTATGAAAACAAATAAAAAAATGGTAGATATTGGACAGTCCTACTTGTTATAAACAAATAGACTTAGCAACAACTTTCATAGATGAGATGGCAGATGGATGATATTATTTTATACATTCCTATTTAGCCAGTTTGAAATACCTTTAAGAATGTTTACTGCAAATATATTGTTTTTTCATTATCATGATCAATTCTGCAATACTAGGAATTGAACCGAAGGGTGCTTCACCACTGAGCTATATCCCTCGCTCTTTTTTCAGTTTGAAAGAGGGTCTTGCTAAGTTGCTGAGGCTGGCTTCAAACTTGCAATGGTCCTGCAGGCATGCACCACTGTGCCCAGTTAATATATTATTTTTTAAAATTAGTTTTCACTTTATCTTTGAATCCATCAAAGGAGAAGATGCTTAACTAGACCAATGGTTGCTCCTGAGAATTACTTAAAATGCAATTAAACAATCTTTGGAGGTGAAACCTAAACATTTATAATTTTTATCAAATCTCTTAAATAGTCATAATATACAGTACTTTGGAAAATCACTACTCCAGGTTTCATAAGAGATACTTATTAAAATGTCCTAAAGTCATAAAAACAAAACCTATCTCAGACAATTAAATACTTTCTTTAATCCTCACAGAGTACCCAGTGTTTCTAATATTAGTAGGCTGATAGCAAAAACTCAATATATACTCAACATACTCTATGCATTAAGATGAAAACACCACACCTGTAAAAGACTACATCTGGGGTTTGTTCACAATTTCCTACCTTCTTATAGAAATCATATTATATTTTTAAATACTCTGTGTTTGAATTAGGTGATCAAGATTTTTCCATTCTAGATTTTATTAGAATCTCTGGTACATGATGCACTTATAATTTGGAAAGGTCTTCTAGATCACGGATTGGCAGAGTAAGTATGATCCATGAGCCATATCTGACCAGCCACCTTTTTCTGTATTGGACCTAAGAATGATTTTTACATTTAGCAAAGTTTAAAAAATTAATACTATTTTATGACAGGTGAAAACTACACAAAACTCCAATAAGTACACAAAATCCATAAAGTTCTATTGGGAATAAAACCTGCTGTGTTTCATTTCAGGATGGTAGAATCAAGTAGTTGGGACAGAGACCATATGGCTTGGCCCAGGAAGCCAAGAATGTTTGCTGTATTTACTAAAACCTTCTTTTATTTTTATTTTTTGCAGTGCTGGGGATTGACCCAGAGTCTTGTATATGCCAGGCAAGTGCTCTACCATTGACTACTGAGTTAAATCCCCAATCCCCAAAATATTTTTCTTTTGCTATTTACTAAAAATAAACACTAGTACTAAAACTACAATATTTTACTCATTTATAGAAAATGTTTACTGACTCTTGGTCTGGATGACTTAATAAATGTCCTTGGAGGCTAGGCTTTCCTACCCATCCCCATTGAAAATTACTCACAGTACTTCTATATTTTATCAAGAGTTAGCATTTGTAATTTAATCAACGATACTCTGATGGCTTATATTCTAATGCATCCAGTTTTTTAGAGCACAGCATATCACTGATATTATGGGATACATAGTCCTCAGTGAGTGGGAAGGTCCAAGAAAGATCTCAAGAGGAGACACTGTCACAGTAAATTTTTTAAAAAGTAAACAGAAATTAACCAACACCACCCCTCTTCCAAAAAAAAAGGTGATGCCTCGATATTACTCCCAGAAACTCTGGTTTAATTGGTCTTGGGTGCAGATTAGGCACTGGCATTTTTTTAAGTTCCCCAGGGATTCTCATGCAAAGCCAGGTATGAGAAATCACTGCTCTTAAGACATGTCATCTGAATCATGCAGCTGTGTGTGCCTGCAAAAACTCTGGCAGGGACAAAGCCAAAACTGCAGAGAACAGGATTACAAAGAATAGAGGTGTGCAGGAGTCAGAGCAACTGTGGGGTGGGGAGCACCCAAAGAATATGAACTTTACTGTGGAGGTTATGGGAAACCAAAAGAGATGATCTATAAATAAAAATATTTTACAATCAAATTTGCCATTTCAAATATTACTCAGGTGGATTTAGGAAAGTGAGACTGAAGAGATGAGCGATAGTAAGACTATGTCAAGAGTCCAAAGAGAAATTAAGGCCTAGACTTAGGCATCAACCTTTGGATTGAAAACAATTTGAGAAATAATCAGGAGGACTGATGGCATATGCTGGATGACGGGCAAGGGAGAGGTCACATCTGGCCTTCCAGATTTCTGGTGAGAGCAGC